TGTGCAATATATAAGTTATACAAAGGCATGCAAGCCAGTATTAGTTAGTGCAAACCTAAGATAAGACCTCGTATTTATATAAATCTAAAAAACCAAAAAATGAACATTTGCTTGGCAAGATCCAAGTAAAAAGGTAGTACAGACTTTTAATAGTAGCTACTAAAATAGGCTTTATCCAAAACTAAATAACTAAATGTAGCAAAAACACCTGGCAAGTTGCTTTACCAACCAGGCTGCCAGCTTGAACATTTAACAGAAAAAAGGAACAGCAGATACTATGAGACCAGTATTCCTTTTAAGCTATCTAGATTGGTAGTCTGAGGAGACCAACTAGAGGATACTAAAAAAAAAGGTATTAGGTTGTCTTGAAGGTGAGACATCAGAGTTTGGATGAACTCTACAAGAGCTGAGTAGATAATGGTAGCAGTTTCGGTTCGCAAGTACTTGTCCTTAAACTTAGTATAAGTTACTGAAAATAGGTTAGGTATTATAGTAATAGTAGATACTGGACTACTTTAGCAGATGATGTATTTGAGAATATATCAAAAATAGCTGTTCTATAAATGGACTATAACGATTCTGAAATTTGGACTGACAAATATATCATATATTCCAGGTGATTGGTTAGACAGATTGGTATAAGAAACTCAGATCAGAGGACTTAATTGGGTAACCTAAATAATAGGTAGTTATAAATACAGCATCTAGTATAGAACCTAGTAATAGGCAGACTACTTAAATTAGGCGTACTCAAAAGGTGCAGCTATAGCTAGAATGTACTTTTGTCAGAATATACTTGTCTGGAACCCTTTTGAAAAGGGCACTACATGATTCTAATAAATTTAATAAAAGTGATAAGCCAAAGAGGCTAAGCTTAACTAAAAAAAAAAATACTGATTTAATCTAATTTTTTTCTATTTAACTTTTTTGTAATATATTGTTGCAAGTATTATTGCTGATTTCTTTTTCTTGTCATTTCTTTTTTTTTGCTCTTTTTTTTAAAATTGATTTTGGGTTATATATGAGAATCATTATTATATTGTTTTTTTTTGGTTTAATTTTTTTTTAATGATAAATTATATTACTACTATTTTTCTTTTTTTTTTAATAGTTTTGCTTATTTTCATTCTTCTGAAATAAGTTTTGGATCTGATAAATATTTTTATTATAATTGTTTTTTTGTTTTTTTTTGTTTGATAAGATATATTACTAATATTTTTTTCTTTTTTAGTAGTTTTACTTGTTCTTTTTACTCTCTTTCTGAAATTGACTTTAAATCTGGTAGATATCTTTCTGTTCTTATTGTTTTTTTGTTTTTTGTTTATAGCTATATCTAATATTCTTTTTTTTTTTTAGTGATTTTGCTTGTCATTATGCTATTTATCCAGAATTAGCTTTGATTCTAATAGATATTTTTATTGTAATTATTTTTTGTTTATAAGTCATATTACTAACACCCTTCTCTTTTTTTAATAGTTTTACTTGTTTCTTCAATATTTTTTCAAAATTGGCTCTGATTTTAGTAGGTATCTTTATTGTAATTATTTTTTGTTTATGAGCTATGTTATTAATATGCTTTTCTTTTTCAGTAGTTTCGATTATTTCTTTACTATTCTTTCAGAATTGTTTTAAATCTGATAAGTATCTTTATTGTTCATATTGTTTTTTGTTTATAAACTATATTACTAATACTTTTCTTTTTTTTGGTAATTTTGATTGTCTCTTTGCTATTTTTCCAGAATTGGCTTTGGATCTAATAGGTATCTTTATTGTTTATATTGTTTTTTGTTTTTTGTTTATAAGCTATGTTACTAATACTTTTTTTTTAATAGTTTTGCTTGTTTTTCACTATTTTTTTAAAATTAGCTTCAGATCAAATAAATATCTTTACTGTTTATATTGTTTTTTGTTTTTTGTTTTTTTTGTTTGTGTATTATTTTATTAATACTTTTTTCTTTTTTCAGTATTTTTATTTGTCTTTTTATTATTTTGAAATTGGCTTTAGATCTGATAGGTAGGCTGTATAGCATAACTAAAAATTTTGTATGCTAGATAGCATGCTATTTGTCAAAGCTCGTGTCAAATATGCCAAAGTAGCATGATACTAAACTATATAATAAAATAAATAAATTTAATTAGTTAATTATATATTCAAAACTTTGTTTTAATTTTTCTTTAAATTTTAATTTTTTACTCAGAATATTTCAGAACTATAATAAATAATATACCTATTATCTATTTAAGTTTTGAACATACTAATGATATTCTATTATAGGCATGCTATGTAATATATTTGTGATTTCTGTACTATTCACCTTACTGGTAGATATCTTTTATTTTATATTGTTTTTTGTTTTTGTTTGTGAGTTATATTACTAATATACTTTTTTTTATTTCAATAGTTTTATTTGTCTCTTTGCTATTCTTTTGAAATTGGTTTTAGATTTAATAAATATCTTTCTGTTTATATTGTTTTTTGTTTTTTTTGTTTGTAAGCTATGCTACTAATGCCTTTCTTTTTGTTTCAGTAGTTTTGCTTGTTTTTTCATTATTTTTTTAAAATTGGTTTCAGATTTGGTAGATATCTTTTTGTTTATATTATTTTTTATTTTTTTTATTTTATAAGCCATGTTACTAATACTCTTCTCTTTTTTCAATAGTTTTGCTTGTCTCTTCATTATTTTTCTAAAATTGGTTTTAAATTTAGTAGGTATTTTTACTGTTTATATTGCTTTTTGTTTTTTTTGTTTTTTTTTGTTTGTAAATTATGTTATTAATATCTTTATATTTTTTAATAGTTTTACTTGTTTTTTTGCTTTTTATCTAGAATAATTTTAGGTTTGGATAAGTATTTTTACTGTTTTTTATTTTCTTTTATTTTTTACTTTTTTTGTTTATAAACATTACTAATATTCTTTTTTTTATTATTTATTTTGCTCTTCTGGAATTGGCTTTGAGTTTTTGTGTTTATTGTTTATTTTTTATTTTAACTTTTTTTTTAGTAATTTTGAAATTCTTATAATTTTGTAGCTTTGTTTTTAGTATAATTTGTAACTTTATTTCTAGATAATTTTGTAGCTCCAGATTTGTTATTAGTATATTAGTTAATTCATTATTTATATATTTGCTATTATAAGCTATATAATTTTTATAGTATCTATATATGATATTATAATAATATAATCATAATATATAATTATTATATATAGAAGGTGTAACAGCTTAGAGTAGTGGTTTAGTTAGCATTTTCAAGCAGCAGGTTTAGAGTTCAATTACCACTAGAGATATTTTTAGAAAATAAGCCTGTATACTGATAACAATTATTCAATAATTGGTTAAATATATCACCTGTAATCTTGATACTATTATCTCAAAATTAAAGCTTTTAGATGATCCAAATTTAAGAAATTGAAATAATTGAAACCTATTTGGCAAGACCTGAGCAAGGAGGTAGCAAAGTCTTTAACAATACTGCAAAAAGCCAAAAACCAGAGACTAAAGAATTAGACGAAAACTCTGAAGCAAAAAAAGTTCACTAAATTGCCAAAGTCGTACCAGAGGAAAAGATCCTATGCTATAAAATTAATAACTAAGTAAAGTAAAACTGAAAGGCATTTAAAGCCTATATACAACCTATTTGGGCTAACTGATTTGATAGTTTGGAAGAAATCAGTATAAGGACTGGTTTGATGCGAGTATTAGAATTGGAATGAACTTTGTAAAGACACTGAATACTAGAATCGTGCGGTTTAATGATTAGTTCTAACTACTAGTGGTAGTTTTAGCTGCTATAGAGAGTATTTGTTGTATAATCTGAAAATGTGTAGAACATAAAAAGATTAAAGGAGAATGTATTATATCTTATTTAGGGCAACCTGGTAGTATGAGAACTCTATCAGTTTATCTATAAAATTAGAGTCAAGTAGTATAGCACATGTTGATCTGAATAGCCTTTAATTAAAGCAGCACAAGGTTATGAGCTAGTGTAATTAAAATAGACCAGATTTACCTTAAAGATAAAAAGCCAGAAATAGGTTAATAAGAGGATAATAGTCTGCTTTAAAATCCTAAGTTATTATATAAAATATAAGCCTATGCAACTGGTTATAAACTAGGATAAAAAGCACTAATTGCTATAAACTTAACATATATAAATACAAAAAGTTTAATTAAATAACTCAAATAATAAATAAAATATAAATACAACATCTAGTATAAAACCTAGTAATAAACAAACTACTTAAATTAGATGCCCAAAAGGTACAAGTATAGCTAGAATATACTTTCTAAATATGTACAATAACTCTCATCTCAAAAGCAATAAAAACACACTTAACCAAAAGATCACCTTAATACCAAAAAATATATATATAAACTACTTTCTAAAATTTTTAAAATTAAATACCATTTTTACAAAAAATTACTCATTCCAGTAATTTTGACCAATCAAAATTTAAGATCAAATGTCAAAACAAATATGTTTTGTTTTCTAAATAAAAAAGTTATGTGTAAAATAAAAAGCAAAAAAACCGAATTAAAATTAGGGTTAGGATTAGAACAATACAACGCTTATTAGTAAAACATCACGAGAAACATTTTTAATTAGACCTCAGAAGGTGGTTTTCTAATTAAAATTTAGTTATTCTCGATTTTTGTAAAAAAGTGGTTTCATTTTGATTTTTACATTACACCTAATCCTGAAATTCGATCGATATAGTAAACGATATCTGCATAAATGTTTCACTGATATGCAAAAGGTCGTCCACCGTGCATACTCTAATTATGAATGGATATTGATTATCTGTAGAACAAGTACGACATTATACATGTAATATAAAAAAATATATATATTTTTTATATACTGATCATGCCGAAGTCAAGAATTTAACGAATCGGCCGAAGAATCATTCGGCAAATTTTATCAGGTGTCCCAGGAATTATGATAATAGCTGTAATTATTAGGCCGGCCCGGGCGGGCCTATGGGACCCAATGCGGGTCTCTATACCTTATTTGGCTTAGGCCTAGTGGCGAATTTAAAATCAGGATTCTCACCAATACGTTCAGTTGGTTTGCAATTTCTATATTTCTCGTTATTCATTCTCTTTTTTTTAGTGAAAGACTTCTACTAAAAAAAAAATAAAATGAATCACGAGAAATATTGAAATTGCAAACCAACTGACCGTATTGGTGAGAAACCTGATTTTAAATTCGCCACTAGGCCTAAGCCAAATAAGGTTCTTCCGTATCGTCCTTCCCATAAAAGCGTAATTCCCTACAAAGATTATGTAAATTCATAATGTAAGATATAAATTATTAGCAATAATCAAAAAATTGCAGCTAGGAAAATCACCTTTTCAGTGCTAATTGTAGCCTTGACTACACCCTGAATATCTCCTTTGAGTTTAGGACTTTCATTTGAAACAGTTTTTACATCATCGATATCCTCCCTTTGCCACCATTCAGCACCGATCGTTAAATCGCTCTCGTAACTATATATATTGAATTCATATCGCGGACATAAAGCCAAATCTTCAGATACCTGTGCAGCAAAAGCAGCAGACATGTGTCCCATAAATGGATTAAATATATAGGTCACTGTAAGTGGTGATTGTGCTGAGAATTGTGGAACAGTACGATAACGAATTCCGGCTGATACTTTAAAATATGGTTTCATAAAATTATTTTAACATATATAAAGTAAATGGATAAAACGATTAAATATACAAACCTCCTCCATTTTTGTCTCGAATACCATAGTATAGTTCGGCACCAATCGACCATTCTCCTTTTAATGCTTCTACCACGTCGTCATCATCGGAATTTGATGGATCATCAAATGTATTCTTTTCAACAACCAATTTTTTAATACCATTCGTCGTACCTTCTTTTTTATTTGTAAATGCATCTACATGTTCTGTATTTCCTTCAGAACTATAGTTTGATAAATTATATAGTCCCTTTAAACCAAATAGTTCGCCATCTGTTGAGTAAGAAACTTCGGTACACCATTTACCAGCGTCATATTGGAGCTCACCCGTACACTGAAATTGGTATCCAATGCAAATATAATTTAGTGCGAATAAACATGGCAAAAGAAGGAACATAAAATAATAATCACATGTGAAGCTTCTTTCATTCTAGGTTCACTAACGCCTGTAATGACACATTGCATCCATGGAGAAAATCTTTTTGAGTATATAGCTTCAAGTCGGCCAGTTGGAATAAATAAGCGGCCATAAAGCAAATAATCTAAATAAAATAAAAATAAATATTGTAAGCATAAAATGCAAGTTTTTCATAATTTAAATATTTGTAAATTACCATTTATTGGCTTGATCTCTTCATTTTTGATATCGCCTTTCGTGTTATCCACTCGATTGGCCCGTGCGAAAGGGACAAGATGAAATCTGTCGATCATTTCTACAAAGTTTAATCGAAAACTCGGTTCAATGACCAATGGACGGGAAGTAAAAAGATAGCTTATTGATCCATTAAGTGTCGGAGAAGCATTCATCGAATATGAAGAATTGAACATGGGAGACTGAATTTTAGAAATTTCGAAAGTAAATCCACGCGGTATTTTAAAATCCAGAATGGCTTGATTGATATTAAAAGAAAATAAATGACATTTTTTTTTTTTTATTGACCGGTAAAAATATCTTGAAACTTCAAAATTAATAGTTTTGTTCAGTTCTTACATTCATAGTATTAAAGCTCACCTCGGGAAGCAGAACATAAATTTGAGTATTGGTTATCGTCATTCCAGCCGGTTGTTTTAAAATACTGACTAAGACAGTAACTCATAAAATCATGCATTATGTTAACGAAAATTTTTTTTTGTAGATTGACGCAGGTTTTTATATGTCCGATCTTCCCATTAAATTTCACTTTCGCGTGACATTCATGGGCTGAAATTCGTCTGATTGGCTAGTGTAAATCAATAGCCCGGGTAACTTATTTATACACTTTAAAGTACT